CAGGAATGCTGCTCCTTATGCCTCTCATGGATTGCTGTAAAGCTTAATGAAAAATTCAATTAACTTTTAATTTAAGATCTCAAATTAGAAAGATAATGATTTTAGTGATTCACTTCCAGGACTAGAAACAGTATTTTGTAAGAGAAAAGGAAATTGCAAATTTTGTACACTACAAAAAGGAGGCTATGTTAGGATCAGAAGAATTAATGAGATTGTGAGATAGCTCCGCCAGAAGCAGCTAATACCATAAGCCATCCTGTGGCTGATGATGTGAGAGGTTGGAAGGGAGCTTACTTGCCCTTCCTCTCCGAATAATGTAATTTTTATGAAAGTCATAATAGAGCCCATCGTATAAAATCCTAATGCTTATGCAAATTCTTTGTGTATTATGTGTATTACGGAGTGTCTGCATGCACGTAAGGCAAGTGAAAAAAATATATATAGCCTTATATAAGGAAAAGTGAAATATACTAATATGCAGCTTTGTGTTTTATAGATTACAACTTGCAGATGATGAAAGAACAGTTGCTATTAGAGACTATGAAACCATATATACAATTTCTGGCAACAGTTCACCTTCAGATATTTTACCAATGCTGTATCTCGCCTCTGAGTCGCCTCCAAAATATGAAGAAAAAGAAGCCTCGATAACAAATAATGAATATTCTTCATCCTCGTTTTCATCTTCTTCGTCTATCTCCTTAGCCACATCTGACACCAGTTCATAGGGAACTGTGAACTAGACTTCATTTTTAAATGAAATTGTACATTCAGATTTAAGATTTTTAATTTTATTTACATTTTATAATAAAAGCAATAACGTTGAATGTGTCTAATTTTTCATCAAAAAGCATAAATGATGAATTTGGGTTTTCAAGAAATACTAGATAATGCTGGTCTGAGCAAATGGTTTGAAGCAATTCAGATCACTGCAATAATGTTAAATGTTCATCTTGTTCTGTTAGAGCTTTAGTATCTATTTCTAGTTGTTCTTTATATAATGGAGGCACTAAGTGGGGCCTTCTTTGCTTATTTTAATTAAATCTGTTTGGAGCTACAAAAAAAAAAGAATAGGGAAGCGTTTTTATTTCTATTTTTGTATGACTTTTCTGGAAAATACTTGTTTGCAAAGTTACTGACTTTATATATAGTCTGACAGCATCATGAATAGGGATCTGCAGGAGGGGACACAAACATGGAGAACTTAAATGGGTACTTTTTGGTCTGCCTGGTAACAAGCACAGCTTAATTTAGACCTTCTCGGTCATTACATAAGTGTAATCCCTCTGAAAATCAGTTTTAGCCATCAGTTAAGAGCCCTAAGGCAAAGCTGAGAGTAGTAAATAAGCCAACAACAGTTTAACTGTGGTAATGAGTGATTTCGTGGGGATTTTTACTATTATTATATATCATCACTCATGGTTTATACAAGCAGTAATGATTTATTTTTTGACAGTGAGCTCCATTTAACAACAGTATTTTCCAGCAGCAGAGATTATTTATCAGCAAACAGCTCTTTCATGAAATGCAGACAATGCACATTTTTAACTGACACAGCATTTCTCAGACCTTTGAAAAACACAACTCTCTTTTAGAGCATCTGTCTGTGCAACCCCCTGGGCTAGCAGCAGCTCTCTTTCTCCAGGATGAGTAAGTGAGAACAAGTTCCACTTTATGAATGTGTACACCCATTCCTGGACTGAAAGATTTTCTGCTAGTAGGCAAGCTTAATTTGCAGAAACTGAGTTGCTGCTAACCTTTGGTACTCTGTCAGTTGGTCTAAACCCTGTTGCAACCCCCTTAGAACTTACCTGGTTTTGTGCCCAGAAACAGAAGGTGGCAGAGCTGCTACCTGGGCTTGGTTCTGCAAGGTGAACTTAACAATGTGAAGACATCTTACAAGAGAGATAATCTGTGTTGTTTGACCAAGTCCCTAAACACTTTCATGCTCCTGGACCTCAGTTACAGCAAGACTTGCATTTTACCCTGATGTATTTTAGGGAACCTGGCTGCAACAGAGTAAGGTTTGAATTAAGCACTCCAGTTCCTCTCCGTACCCCATGTCATCTGCCGGGAACACACCTCTCACCAGCGCCATTCTTCAGGGATGCTCCTGCCTTCGGCCACTTCCATCTCTGCGCTGTCTCCTCAGTTGTGCTGAGGAGCTCTTTGTGGGGCCACACAAAACCAACCAAGCCAGTGAGGAGAGATTATGTAGCCAGTACTAGAGCTGAGGGGCTGAAGCACGCAGAGTGATGAGCAGGCACAGCAGGGAGAGAGTTAGTGTGTGGGAGCTGATTCAACGGGCATGGCTTGGACATGCAAAATGTCCATGGAAGGACATTGGAAGACAGGGATCCACACAAGCCAGGATCCTTTCTGCCTTCCCTCGGGTTTTTGTAAGTAACTTTTTTAAAGGTTGCTGGTTTTAAAATGCCTTCTGAAACAAAACTGTGTGTTAGTTTTTGTTTGTTTGTTTTGGTACTTAGGTTTCTAACCTGGTTTCTTCCACTGGGCAGCTGCGTGCATCATGCAAACCTCACACATGTAAAAGGACCTTTTCTCTGATTCCAGTTCTGTCAAACTGTTACATAATGAGTGCGGAAGCTGGGGGTTTTACCTTGAAAATCACATGCAGACAAAGACCCATGTGGGCTTTGTTCTGTTGTTGTTTACATTCTGATGAACATTAATTTGTTGAAAAGCCAAAAAATCAATGAGTGCTTAATGAAAACAGAGATAGATTTGTTTTTAAAGTATCCTGTAATCTATCTTCAAAAAAAGCCAGTCTGTTTCCTATCTGTAATGTTATTAACCTTTCGTACTGTCTGCAATTTGCTCATTCAGTTGTTCACAAGATGTACCCAAGAGACCAGACAAGTCAAGTAAAATATGTTGACTCTCACTGAGTCCTCTGGTAATGAAATATAATCTTCCTATTCAGTGTTACTGCTTTACCTTCTATTGAAGAATGTCCAGTATGGATCACTTCGTTTCTGAAAACGAACAAACAAACCTACCTCCATGGAAAGCAAGCTTGTTGGCCTGACTCTTCAGTCAGCTGATTGCATCTGAATTTACGGAGAGGGGCAGGTATTATCTCGGGGCAGGTGGGGGAGAAGAGGCTCAATCACAATGTTTCTCTGTAGAGGATATTTAGTAAACAGTACAACTTGCAGCTGTGTAAGCTTTTTTTTTTTTTTTTTTTTTTTTTTGGGGGGGGGGGGATGGAGGTCATTCCTTAAAAATTCACTGGCTGTAATGGGTACATCTCCGCAACCAACTTAACACAGACGACTAACACAGGACGACAGTGTTTGTTTGTTACACTGTTGAGATCTGATGAGCAAGGTTAGAAAATGTGCTTAAGAGGCTGGCAGATCTGTCTCCACCACTGATAACTACCACTGGATGAACAGCATTAGCGGGAGAAACTTTTGATGGGGGGAGTAGGGGTGAAATGTCCGTATTAGAAAGGAAGTAACACCTTGTAAAACCATAAAAGTAGCTCAAAGTAATACTGAGTAGCTTTTTTATTGAGGAAGTGACATATTTTACTATCACACTAATGGTGCTATTAACTCCCTTTCTGCCCTAAGGTTAGCTAAAGTGCTTAACTTGACATACAAATGCTAGGGAGCAAATCAAGTTGGTTACTGATTCCCACTTACTTAAACAGGCAAAGTGGGAGGTAAGGACTCCTTACCCTCTGTAGGTGAAGTTAAGGTCTGTCTTCACTGGTGACTGCACTGACATGGCTCTGCTTCTATTTGGAACACGGTAGTCATTTGGACATGAAAGGGGTTCACAAATATGTAAACAGATGCCTCTTCCCTAAGGTAAATTCTTTCTTCCTGCATTACCACCACTTCTAACAGAAAACTAACTCATCCAAAAAACTGTCTTTTCACAGGTCTCTACAGTGAAGCTGCATTATGAGGATTGCTGCACACAGACATTATTAGATTGCACCCACCCCCTCGGCCCTTTGCGGGTTGTAGATTTGTCCTTAGGAGGCAGATCTGAAGGAATCATGAAGCACAGGAG